TTTTCAATATAGGATGGACCCAAAACCTTCTTTGTTTTCTTTTTTTATGTAGCAGGACAAGCAGTACATCGTCGTCGCTTGATGTGGAGTCCATCTTTGTAGCGCGACGTTTTAAGAAAATATCGCTTATTCGCGTCGCGTTCGGTGTGAATACTTTTGGTGCGTTAAATTCGCCTGCGTTTTTTTCGCTTTTTCATCTCGCTTATTCGCGTCGCGTTCGGTGTGAAAAGGCCTTTAATGTCATTAAAGCCTGACTTATGGTTGTGCGCTGAATCTATGCCGTAGCCTTACGCGTGGCCTCGTCCCCCTACGCCGTAGACTCTCCAGGTTTCTGGATCAAATGTCAGATCTGTTTCTGTGTGTTCATGTTCAGAACCCTCACCTGAACCAGAACTCCTGGAACAACCTTGAGAAACTGTGTCGCTCTCTGACCAAACATTACCTCAATGTCTACGTCTGCACTGGCCCACTCTACCTGCCCAGGTAACCTCCGTTTAATCTTCTGTGCTGTCTGTGTATTGTGTGTGTGTGTGTGGGGGGGGGCGCTAACATATGACATTATCAGGTGTTGACACGTTTCAGGCAGGAAGCTGATGGGAAACTCTACGTTCGATATCAGGTTATTGGACAAAACCATGTTGCTGTGCCGACGCATTTTTTCAAGGTAAGTTTACCTGTCTGATGGTGATGATCACTGTGATGATGGTGATGAGCTCACCTGTCCTGTGTCTCCTCAGGTGCTGATCCTGGAACAGGGGGGTGGTAAGGGGGTGGAGCTTCGGTCCTATGTTTTACCAAATGAACCAATCGATGAGAAGATTCCTTTGGAACGTTTCTTGGTTCCCATAGAAACAATCGAGCGAGCATCTGGACTTCTGTTTGTCTCAAACATCATGAAGAGGACAAGCAGTTTGCAAGCCATCACAGACAGATAAACTACAGTACCCAGAATCTTCTGGTGCTGAACAGCCAGATGGTGTGTTCCACCTTCTGGGAAGCTGGAATTTTTGAGTTCCCAGTTGGGAAATTTCAAATCAAGTCAAATTTTATTTGTACAGCGCCAAATCACAAAAGTAATCTCAGGACACTTTACAAAGGTCTAGACCTTACTGTTATCACTATTATTATTATTCTTAGTTTTTCTTTGGAGCTTTGCCTCAGTTTGTTTTTTTTGCGCAGCATTACAGCACTTCTCTTCCTACAAATAATTATGTAACACATTTCAGCAATTGATCAAGTACAGCTGTTGACAGTTTGAACATTTATCACTTGTGTATGTCCCTGATCAGAATCGGCCAGCTGCTTCTCGATTAAACTGTTCACATCATCACTGACAACAGTTTGTACAGCTGTTAAAACGCATCGAGCCCTCAGCTCTGAATTCCACAGAATGACTTGTTAATCCATGTATGAAGACCCCCTGATCAAGATGGCAGCTGTGATCAAGATGGCAGCTGTGACTGCAGATGGAAATATGAAAATTATAATTAACTGTTGAAAATATATGGCTCAAACGGTGGAAATGTATGGACAACTTTAATATTTCTGTGTTTACTCTTAATGTGTACAGTAGTTTTAGGATGAACCGCCGAATTTATCTCAAAAAAAAAAAAAAGGTTCTTTTATGGTACAAATGACATAGCATATTTATTTTGCCCTGTAATATTTTTAAATCAGTATTTTCATTAATATCCATCAAATCTGTGGAAACCTTAAAACTCCCTGAGTGAATCGGATGTTCTTCGATAGCTTTAATAAAAGTTCTTTAAAGGAAATCTGATGTTTTTTCATACTTTTTACTTTAATATACGTTTCTATTAATTTGTCCACACCTGTTGAGGACAGCAAAGGTTCCGATAAGTAATAATAATCAGTATCATTGAGCGGCGTCATGTCATTAAAGACATAAAACATCTGGTTTCACAAACAATCATCGTGATTATCAATCACGACCTGTAAAATAAAAGCCTCAGGGTTAATCCACTTTCTGTCCAGGGTTTAAAGACAAATTGTGTTAAAAAAAAAAAAAATCTGGTTCAGTCTGATTGACAGGAGTCTGCAGACAGCCAATCACAGTGAGGATCGGTAGGGGCCTGTCATTCATTTGATCTTTCTACTTTCACCTGTGCCATGATTGGCTGGTGGTCAGCTGACTGTTGTCCACAGTCATCCTGAAAGCTGAAGAGGTCAGAGAGCAGGTACTGTTGCTCCTCATGCTCTGCCCGCACCTCCTGCTGCTGCATCTTCTCTCCGCTGAGCTTCATCAGATCGGCGTTCAGGGCCGGAACCACCGTGTGTTGCAGGAAGTCGATGATATCTGGAGGGGTGGGTGCATAAGCATTTACTGATGCAATGTTTCTGTTGATCTGTTCTTCATGACAAACATTGGACAAACTAAAAAAGTGATGTTTGCAAACTAAAAGCAAAATAGACTGTACACATCAACTCAGACCAGCACAGACACTCGGCCATGGATGTATAGGCTGTTTCTTCGTTAACCCTTCAATGGGGAGTTTTCCAAACTGCTACTCATGCTTTTAATAATAATTTAAGTTTGAAACAGTAATACTAGCTGTCAGAAATTTTACCATACTTGGTGTTATGCCAAAAAATTTCCACAGCTCGCAGCCAGTAAACATGTATCAGCCAGTTCGTCTCCGCATACAGCTGCTTTGCAAGGTCACCCGTAATGAAATGCAAAAGTAGACCCCACGAGTGGTGATACAAATGCACATCTTTACAAAAGTTTTGAAGAAACTAGTAGAATAATTATAGTAAAACAGAAGCCGTAGCAGTTTATAATGCAGTCAGGCATTCTGCAGTCCTAACAGCTGGACGTGCATCCTACGTAGGCTCTAGGTGGTTATGTGCAGTGCTGGCCTGCGACAGATGTCGATGTGTTTCTGCTACAGGGTTGTACTCAGTTACGAACTGCTTAGATTTAAGTCATTACCCAGCCAGTTTCAGAAGCAAAATATTGAGCCATATCTAAAGTATATTTATTTAAAGGTGAAGTATTATAGTGCTCACCTCCGTATGATAAAATAGTCCAGTTGGGAACTCTGGACACTTTGAGTCTGTGGAAACCCTTCTGTACACACACAGGAGTCACTTTACTGCAACAAACACACACACACACACACACACAGCGCTACAGTTAATACTACAGTATGCAGTATTAGTACTACTATGCTACTAGAGTTCATATTCCTGGTACAAACATCTAAACTAGGTCACTTCTGACCCAGAACTGGAGAAAGAACTGGAGTTCTTTAGCTCTTCTTCAGTAGCCTAAGTTTGTTACTAAAGGCTCTATTCTATTATAAAGCCTCGTCCGGTTCTTTCAAACCAGGAACTCAGAGGGACGACTCAGACCACTTGAGTATATAAAAAATATAACCGTGCTGGTTTATTCAAAGAGTCACAGGCAAGAATTAACACTTCAAGTCCAGAGATCTTCCAACCCCCAGGCTGCCCAAGCAGCCCGGAAGCAGGAAAGACCCAGAACCCAGAATTGCTATACAATATCATCACTTAGTTGGCTCGCCCCCTCCTCCACAGAAACATCAACCGAGACGTCTCTCAGCTTTGCAGCTGGCTATAACGTTAGCCAAAACATGAGGAAAAGTCAAGGTGTGTGGCTGTTGTTTTCGTGGTGTGTATCTAAAACAATTGGACATAACCTTACACATTAAGACAAATATTAAGACTAGCATTACAGTTGACACTAACAGCTCTTTGCCTGTAACCTTGACCTGCCTGCAGTCTGCACTGCAGGCACATTACTGAACAGTTAACAGCCTGAGCCAGTCAATCTGTCTCCACTAACATTTCTAATACAACAAATCTCTGAATATCTATCTAACTAGGAAATAACCTAACAGTTACTAAGACCGATCTTTGTGAAACTTTGGCCACAGAAGACACCAATCTGTCAAGAATCTTTTTGCGTGTTGTTGTTGGTTGCACTGATGAAAGGTTGCCGTCATGTGCTGTGTGGGAACCTAACGAAAGGTACAACCTGAGCTTCGCTTAACCATCACTGAGCGTAGCCGTTGGGGTCGCCTCGACCGTCCTGCTTTGATTCTCCACTGTATTCTCTCTGTTTAGAGGAGGGAGGGGCTGCTCCCCCCACACGCAGTGAGCTGTGCGTTTACACACGGTCCTTGTAAAGCTAACGCTTGAGGTGTGAGGGCACGACATCTAACCAAGCACCGGCGACTGTTCTGTGTGCATGCACCCTCCCCCCTCACAGTCCTGGTACTTGATTTTAGTACCACCTTTTGGGAAGGCGGGGGCTGACTGACAATTAGCTCCCAGAATGCACCTCTGAAGCGGGCGCACCATAGTGGAAGAAAGCACAGAACCCGTGACGAGCGTTACTCTGCGTTTCACTGTGTTCCTCTGATGGACAACCCCCTTTAGTTCAGAATCAGTTTTATTGGCCAGGTGTGATGGACACATGAGGAATGAGGACACATGACTCTGGTACATCAGCTCTCAATGTGCAAACAGTAAACCAGCATAAGGCTGTGTAATATAACAATAAGCAGTATTAACATCAAAATTGACAGCAAACAGTGCAAACAATGCAGAAAAAGCAGTATAAACAGACAGTAAACAATGCAGACAACAAAGGAATGTTCATTGAAATGAGATAATTAGGGATAAAAATAGAGTAGTTAAAACAGAGTACTAGAGACCTGTACGAGTCTGTATAATCTGTACAATGTATATATACACACACACACACACACACACACACACACACAGGTATTGCACTCAGGGTTATTGTCCAGTCATACTGTCATGGGTCAAGTGTTCATCAGAGTGACGGCCTGGGGGAAGAAACTGTTCCTGTGCCTGGTTGTCTTAGTGCATAGTGACCTGTAATGCCGTCCAGAGGGGAGGAGTTCAAACAGATTGTGTCCAGGGTGTGAGGGGTCAGCAGTGATCCTCTCCGCCCTCCTTTTGACCCTTGCATAGGTCCCTGGGGAGTCTAGGTGTTGTAGGATGTATTACAGTGCCATGTTCACTGCATGATCCACTGACCCGTTAGCCCGGTAGGCAAACTGCAGGCGGTCTACAATGTCCTTCAGGTGAGCCAACACCAGTCTTTCAAAGCACTTCATAACTACAGATGTCAGGGGGACAGGTCTGTAGTCGTTCAGTCCACTGATGGGGGTTTTCTTGGGGACTGGAATGATGGTGGAGCGTTTGAAGCAGAAGGGGACTTCACACAGCTCCAGTAACCTGTAAAGATAAGTGTGAAGATGGGGGGGCCAGCTGATCAGCACACACTTTCAGTCAGGAGGGGGTCACGCCATCTGGGCCTGGTGCCCTTCTGATCTTTTGTCTTTTAAAGAGGCCATGCATATCCTCTTCATAGATCGTTAGAGGTGGGGGGCTGGTGGTGGTGGAAGGGTGGTGATTGTTGTTGTTGTTGTTGTTGTTGTTGTATGTGCAGAAGGTCTTTTTGGGCACACACACATCCTCACAGAAACTGATATAAGAGGTCACAGTGTCAGTGAGTTCATCCAGGTCTGTACCTGCAGTCTCAAATATACTCCAGTCTGTGCAGTCAAAGCAGGCCTGTAGCTCTGACTTGGTCTCCTCAGCCCAGCTTTTCATTGTTTTGACTACAGGCTTCGCCGCTTTAAGGTTCTTCCTGTTGGTTGGACTAAG